TGTTTTTTTCTCTTTTTGAGTCACACTTGGTATTTAAGATTTTGATACCCAGGACCCTACACTGATGTCCTAAGGGGTCACTGCTGCCATTGCTGGGGCCAAAAAAACTTGGCACTCCTTTAACTTTACACATAATAGTTGTGTGATCCTAGACAAACCACTCTGAAATTTATTTAGCCCCAGTTTCCCCCTTTGTAAATATGGTGTGACTACTACCACTTTGTCTTACAAGTTGCTAAGAAATTCAAGTAATGTATGTAAAAATTTGTAACCTTGAAGCAATATACAGGGGCTGGAGCAATAACACAGCGGGTAGGGCATTTGCCTTGCACGCAACTGACCCGGGTTCGATTCCCAGCATCCCATATGGTCCAAGCACCGCCAGGAGTAATTCCTGAGTGCAGAGCCAGGAGTAACCCCTGTGCACCACCCGGTGTGACCCCCCCCCAAAAAAAGCAATATACAGGACATGTTAATGATTACTATTATGTATCAGAAAATTAAATATGTTTTTGCACAGTGGCACCAAGTTAAAACAAATCAACACTTACCTGGGTGGCATGTGCGAAATGCTCTCCCCACCCCCCTTTCTGGGTCACATCCAGTGATGCTCAGGGGTTACTCCTGGCTCTGCACTCAGGAATTATTCTTGGTGGTACTCGGGGGACCATAATGGATGCTGGTGATTGAATTGGGTTGGCAAGGCAAGGCAAAAGCCCTATCTGCTGTACTATGGCTCTGACCCCACAACACTGTTTTTTTTTTTTGACACAACCAGCAGTGCTCAGGACCATGTGCTAGGCAGATGCCTAACCCCTCCCCATACTGCCTCTTGGCCCCAACACTTATTTTGTTGTTTGTTTTTTGGGGGGCATGCCTGGCTGTGCTCAGGGTTTACTCCTGGCTCTGAGCTTGGAGATCAATCCTGGTGGGGCTCAGGGGACCATATAGGTTGCCAGGGATCTAACCTGGGTTGGCTGCGTACCCAGCAAGCTCCTTACCAGTTATACTACCTCTATAGCTACCCCACACTTTTTTTTTTAAATCTCACGAATTGGTCCAACCTGAAAAAGATTTGTTTGTTCTTTTGTTTGGGGCCACACCCAGCAGTGCTCGGGGCTTATTCCTGGCTATGCCCTGAGAGATCACTCTGGGCTGACTCAGGGGACTGAACCCAGGTTGGCTGTGTGCGAAGCAGGCACCTTAACCACTATACTCTTGCTCTGACCCCCTAAAAGAAAAGATTTTTATTTATTTTTTGCTTTGTGGATCACACCTGGCAATGCTCAGGGTCACTCCTGACTCTGCACTCAGGAATCACTCTTGGCGGTGCTTGGGGGACCATATGGGATGCTGGGAATCGAACCCAGGTCGACCACGTGCAAGGCAAACGCCCTACCCACTGTGCTATCACTCCAGCCCCCTGAAAAGAATCTTAAAGGTAAGCTTGGACAACTCCTCTCCAAGTAGCTGTGGAGCCTGAAGGTCAGGAGACAATAGCACCCTACTGGACTGGTAGGAGAGTCCTCCAGAGCTGAAAAGCCCCCTCTCTCTAAGGCACCTCAGGTGTGAAACAGTTTGTACGTGGTGGAGTCAGTGCCCCCTGCAGACACTGCGTCTGTGCTGCAGCGAGCGGGACGCCCCTGGGAGCCAGCACAAGCCTAACTGCAAATGAAGGTGCTGCCTCCCTGCACCTGCAGGACTGACCACTGGGCTGCTGGCAATGAGTTTTCTTATATGAGTACAAATCTGCTTCCTATATTAAAAAAAATGAGAAGGCTAGGGGCCAGAGAGACAGTAGAGGGGGGACACGTACTTGCATTGCCTGTGTCTTGCCCTGATTCAGATCCTCGCTAACACAAAGGTTTCCTGGAGCCTAACCAGGAGTGATCCCTGAGCACAGGACCAGGAGTAAGCCCTGAGTACTACACAGCCCAAAGAACAAACAAACAGGGACTGGAACGATAGTAAAAGGGGTAGGGTGTTTGTGTTTGCCTTGCATGCGACCAGGCCCAGGTTCAATTCCCAGCATTCCGTATGGTCCCCTGAGCACCGCCAGGAGTAATTCCTGCATGCAGAGCCAGGAGTAACCCTTGTGCATTGCTGGGTGTGACCCAAAAAGCAAAAATAAATAAATAAATAAATAAATAAATAAGAACAGAACGAACAAGCAAACAAATATTGAGGCTCATCAGAGAGAACACGAAATGTTATTTCTGGATTACTAACCTATTGTCGAAAGATAATATTGGGCTGGAGCGATAGCACAGCGGGTAGGGCGTTTGCCTTGCACGCAGCCAACATGGCCGACCCGAGTTCGATTCCTCCGCCCCTCTTGGAGAGCCCGGCAAGCTACCGAGAGTATTGGATATGCCAGACACAGTAACAACAGTCTCCAATGGAGACTTTACTGGGCCCGCTCGAGCAAATCGATGATCAACGGGAGGGCCTTTACTTACTTACTTTACTTAACCTATTGTAATTTATTCAAGAATTAAGTAAATGCATTGAGGCTCACTCCATGTATGGTCTAATTTGAGAGGATTTGTCAGGTAATATAGAGCTGATGTCCTCATTTTAAATCTTTCTAATTGTATACCCCTTCCCAGTTGCAATGTCATAATTATGAGTTACTTTGTTGCTTTTTGTTTTCTTTTTTGTAGGACTTATTCTGTTGTTTTTTTTTTTTTTTTGTGTGTGTGGGGGTGGGTGGTTGGGGGAGGTGCCTACACTGCTTACTCCTGGTGGTACTCAGCCAATCGGGCTGGGCATTCAATGCCAGGCCAGAGGACGCGCTGTGCTGCTCAGGCCCACAGGGCCACAGTCCCAGCTGTGCTTGGGCGTTCGGGGACCCGCAGGGCTAGACCTGGGGATGCTTGTAGAGCCTTGTGGTGAGGGAAGGTCAAGCAGATGCGAGACATGACCTCGACTCCTGCACTATCTTCCTGGCCCGCTGTTGAAAAAAAAATCTTTTTTTTTTTTTTCAGATTACACCCTGAAGAGCTCTGTGCTTATTCCTGACTCTGCTCTGTGCTCAGGGATCACTGTAGGCAGACTCAGGGAACCAGATACGGTGTAGGGGATTGAACCAGGTTGGCTATGTACAAAGCAAGCGCCCTGCCCACTGCACCATCTCACTGCCTTCCCTGCACGGCCACTGCCCCCCCCCCTTGAGAACTCTAATAGCCAGAAATCACATCATCTAGGAAGGTGGCAAAATTCAGATTCGAGCAGCATAATGAGCACGTGCAAGGCATTGATCTTGGTCCCGAATGAGATGCTGAGGCTGATAGGCTTAAGGTAATAAACCAAAACAGAACTTCCTGTCTGGGGCCACCCCCAGCAGTCTTCAGGGCTTACTCCAGGCTCTGTGCTCAGGGTTCACTACTCACAATGCTTGGGGAACTGGATGGGGTGCTGCCGGGGATCGAGACTGGGTCAGCCGCATACAAGGCAGGCACCTTATTTATTATTTTAAAAAATAATTTATTTTATAAAGTAGCTGACAATATTTCATTAAATTTAACATTCAAACGCCAATCCCACCACCATTACACCTTCCCACCACATTTTGAATGTTTCCGCCCCGACTCCCAAAGCCCGCCACCAACCAGGACCTAAATAATTTATTTTGTATTACTTGTTATGAAAAACCATTGAAGATGCTACAAAAAAGTATCCTTAGAGGAAAGAGGGTGAAGACTGTTGTATTTCATTCAGGGGCCATTAAGCCCTTCTATAAGAGATCACTAGCATGTTCTTAGAGGTGGAGCCTTGTGTGCATATATATATATATATATATATAAAATGTAAAAAAAATTTTCCTTCTAAAATTGGTTGCCTCCTGCCTTAAACTCTGTCAAATGTGGAAACACCTTACTTACTATATGATCTCTCTGGCCCCAAAACCAAGACATGACTTCAATGGGACAAAAGTGTCCTCTTTTCCAGGGGAAAAAATGTAAAGAATGTTTCTGGCTAGCCTGAAAGAAAGCGGCTGCATTTTGATATAAAAACTGTTTTTTATGCTTTAGGGGGCACTCATAAAGTACAAAAAATATTTTTATAAAGTGAGCTTGTAGTACTTTCATCAATTTACAGATTTGGGCTAGGGATATCAGTCTCAGGGCCTAGACCGTTTCAAAGCTGGGGCCACATAGTTCTGGAGAAGAGGGGGTTGCCAGGGTCATCTTCATCTCAGTACTGGGGGGGGGCATGCCGTGGAGGGGATCAAACTCAAGCCTTCACATGTGCAAGGCATGCGTACCAAACTCTGTGCTAACTCACTCCTCTTCCATCTGAAAGGAGGAAGTGAACTGCATCAGGAACGGGATGTTACATTTTCCTGTTCAGTCCTGGTCCTTCCTTCTCTTGATAGCTTTTGTCCCTAAATAATGCAGTCAGTGATCTGAGAGACTGAGGGGAAAGCTTTATTGAGCTGGAGAAAGCCTTCAAGTCTAAGACTTCGAAGGCAAAGTAGCAACAGGGGGACATGCAAAGGACAGGAGGGAATGGGGTGGTCAGTGGTGTAGCACTGGCCAGCTGCTGGGTGGTGACTGGGTGGCCACAGACTGTGGATGTGCTGGGTGTCAGGTCAAATTCATAAATGCAGACCAGGAGGCCAAACCAGAGCAACAAAAGCACTCCTCGAAAAACAAAAAATAAGCAAACCAATGCAATCATTGAACAATTAATCATGAAAACAATTCCCTAAATAGGAAGGAGATCATGCAGGGCAACCTCCTGTGACCATGGATGCCAAAGTATAAACTATCCCTGGCTCCAAGGGACTGGCTGATGCAGTGCCCAGAGTGGCTGAGTGTGTCAGACGCATTGGTGAGCATCTCCAGGGCTCCTTAAAGACCAAGAATTTGGGTTTCTGTTTTATGGGCCACACCTGGCTGACTCCTGGCTCTGCACTCAGGGATCACTCCTTGGTGAGACTCAGAAGACTGCATGTGATCCCGGGGATCGATCCCAGGTCAAGGTAAGTGCCCTATCCGCCAGACAATCTCTCCAGCCACAAGACTGATGATTTTGTCCTCAGGTTGGTTCACAAGCCGACAGAGTGGGCTTAAGGCTTGTATCACATCTTTCTGTTTTTCCAAAGAGACGCCAGGCTTGAGCCATTTTACGAAGTTTCGCGAGATTGGGTTTCACCTAAGGGGAGAAAGAGTAACTCCAATTAGCAACAGGCAGAAGGAGCACGTAAGCACTTCCTATTGTGGATCTTGAAATATGTCTCCAGTTTGGATTTCGGGATTCAGAAAATAGTCCTGACAGCCTCAGGCTAAGTGGGACCGGACACTGGGTTGCCATCTCTTCAGGACCGAGGACAACACTTGTTTCATTTCCTTTCTTGTATCGTATGAAACCAACAATTTTTAATGGGAGTCAGCACTCAGATCGGAGTTAGAAAACCTGATTTTGGTACCTGAGAAGGCAGTGGCACAGAAGACTGGATGGCCCTTGGCAGGAAGGTAAGCGAGAGGAACATTCTGGAAAGCAGCAAGCTGGACATGCCTATTACACTCTCGTGTTGTTTCGCTTAAGACGAGAACAAGGCCAGAAAGTCTGCTTTCACTGAAACCGTTCCGTGCCTTTATTGCATTATCCCCAGCATTGTTCCCGGGCTGCTGAGTCATAGGGACCAAAGCGCAAAGGAGGCGCCTCCTGCCGTGGCTGGCCCAGGCCCAGTGCAGAGATCCTTGGCCACGGCTGCCACTCCAGCTAGGGCCATCGAACCACAGATTGTTTGAGCTTTATCTGCCGGCAGTGAACTTGTGCTTCTACCAGTGCTTTGTTGCCCTCGAGAGAACTTCTGAATCTTATGAAACCCACGGGCCAACAGGTCACAGTTGTTAGCGATACAGCGATCTTACATGGATGCTGAGCTTAAAAAATACAAAGACGTAGGGGCTGGAGCAATAGCACAGCCAGTAGGGCGTTTGCCTTGCATGCGGCTGACTCAGGTTCGATTCCCAGCATCCCATATGGTCCCCTGAGCACCCCCAGGGGTAATTCCTGAGTGCAGAGCCAGGAATAACCCCTGTGCATCGCCGGGTGTGACCCAAAAAAGCCAAAAAATATAAAGACGTCAAGATCACTAAGCATTTCGCCCATTTTGGATTGGGCAAGAGGAAATGGTGAGGCTTTTACGAAAATCCCCGCATACTGTCTTCCAACCTCTCAGATTCTGGAGAGGATGAAGACGGGTTACATTTGGATATTCAGAGCAGAGCGGGAGGGCTGGCCTTTATCCCCTCTTCCTGTGCATACCTGTGTGTCCTGTTCCAAGTGATTGATGTCGGCCAAAGGCAGCATTGAGGGCCTCCCGTGGGCGCACTGGAACGGCAGCCGGCACCAGGACAGCGCGTCAATAAGGCGGCAGCATTCCTCGAAGCTCAGGCTGTCGTTGAACTTAATGGCCCCTACATGAGGGACAGAAGCAAGACAGTCATGGTGTGTGTGGCGGGAAACCGGTGCTGACCCTGGGGCAGAGCCATACGTCTGGGGAAGGTGCTGTGTTTCCTGGGCTGCTTCTTTTTTTTTTTTAGTTTTTATAGCACAGCGGTAGGGCGTTTGCCTTGCACACAGCCAACATGGCCGACCCGAGTTCGATTCTTCAGCCCCTCTCGGAGAGCCCGGCAAACTACCGAGAGTGTCTCGCCTGCACGGCAGAGCCTGGCAAGCTCCCCATGACATATTTGATATGCCAAACACAGTAACAACAAAGTCTCCAATGGAGACGTTACTGGGCCCGCTCGAGCAAATCGATGAACAATGGGAGGGCCTTTGCCTTTACCTTTACCTTTATTTATTGAATCACCGTGAGAGCAGTTACAAAGCTTTCGGGTTTAAGTCTCGGTCATACAATGAAACACCCGTACCTTCACCAGTGCCCATTCTCCACCATCAAAAGCCCCAGTATACCCCCATCCCACACCCTCCCCTACCTGTGGGGCAGATGATTTCCACATTACTCTCTCTCTATTTTGATCACATTCAATATTTCAACACAAGACCCACCATTATTATTTGAGATTTTACCCCAACACTCAGATCTGCTGAAAAGGCAACAGTAGACAATTTGTTTTCTATTGCTGGTTAAGAATAACATATGATGTCGTGTGGCTGCAGTAGTGGCCACGCAACTTTGAAATTCCAAAATTTTAACACTTAAATCTGCAGGGATTTCTGCCAAAACGTGCTGGGTTCCGAGATTTGTTCCTGAGTCTCTGGGGTCATGGCCGTTAAGCAGCTTGATCAGGAGCAAGAGAGACCGTTCATGGGTGACAGTCTCATTGGGGTCTCATTGGGGTGTGGAGGAAAGGGCCAGCTCCACCCCCATCCCATGAGGCTCCACGTGTCTCGTCACTGAGGGCCCAAACTTGACTGTCCAAATGGCCTCTGGAGGATGGCAGCCACCGAGCCACCTAGGGGGAGCAGGCAGAGGGACAGTACCCTTTCCTCCCTGGGGTGGACCAGCGACAGTAACCTACTGCGGGTCTGGACACATTTCTGCCAAAAGCCACTGGATTCCGAGATTTGTTTCTGAGTTTCTGGGATCATGGCCATTAAGCAGCTTGATCAGGAGCCAGAGAGGCTGTTTGTGGGTGGTGACTCCGGGTCTCGTTGGGGTAGGGAGGAAAGGACCGAATTCACCCCCATCCCCTGAGGCCCCGTGTGTCTTGTCACTGTGGACCCAAACCTGATTGTCCAGTGGCCTCTGGAGGCTGGCAGCCACCGGGCCAGGGGGAACAGGCCAAGGCACGAAACCTATTCCCACCTGTGGTGGCCCAGCGCCGGAAACCTACTGCAGGGACTGGATGCATTTCTGCCAAAAGCCGCTGGGTTTCGAGATTTGTTTCTGAGTCTCTGGGATCATGGCCATTAAACTGCTTGATAAAGATCCAGAGAGGATCCCACCGTTTGTGGGTGGTGACTAGGGGTCTTGTTGGGGTGAGGAGGAAAGGGCCGGCTCCACCCCCATCCCGTGAGGCCTCGTGTGTATCATCACTGGGTTCTGGGCTTCTTTAGGTTGGCCAGAACCTGGCACAGTGAGAGTGTCAGGCTGAGCAGTCTCTCGGCGTCTCCTCGGGAGAGGCTGCCTCAGGCCTGGAGGAGGCCATCCTCCATCTGGCAGGCTTGTGCTTGCCGGGCTCTGCTCCGAGGCGCACTCCTCCGAAGCTTAGGAAACTGAGGTCATCTCTGTCCACAGCCAAACCATCATCAAGATCTCTGCTTTCTACAATGTCCACTTTATTTGCTTTTCTTTAATTCCATAATAATCTTCTGAATCTAAACTCTCACATAGTCAGGTGCTCTGTGCGTACAGTAATTCACTCTGTCAACAGGTATTTATTAAGTGTCTAGGACTGATGGCTACTTTAGCCACGCCGGGCCGTGACGGTGAGAGCTGGAGCTGAGGATCCGATAGGCTCAGACTATGAGGTGACCAAGATATAAATAACTACACCGTCATTGGAAAACAGAAGTCCAATCAAACCCAGGGCATGAGAGAATACATGAGACCCAACCCAGTTTTAGAGGTCAGAGAAGGCTTTCCTGGAAAACTGGTATTTAATCTGAGACCTGAGGTTAGAAAGACATGACTGAGAAGGAGCAGGAAGTCATTCTAGTCATACAGCAAGGACAGGGCCAGAGTTCAGCACACACAGCAAGACTGAGGAAGCAGGCCGCAGTGTGAAGCAGGGTGGAGAGTGACCAGAGAAGAAACCATGGCCGCAGTCAAGGGCCTGGCCATGAAACCCTGATACATCGTGACAAACACGATTTCCTGAGAGCAAAGGGTCGTCATCAATTTTTGGTACAAGCATGACATGCCCAGGGGCTGAAGAGACAGCCCAGCAGGGAGGGCACTTGCCCTGGATGCACCCAACCTGGGTTCAATTCCCTGAGCACCTCTGGAAGTGATTCCCAAGTGCAGAGCCAGAAGTAAGCCCTGAGAACCATCCTGTGTGACTCCAAAACAAAACAAACAAAAGAGAATGACATGCTCAGAGGGATGTTTCAACCAGAATCCTCTGGGTGCTGAGGCAAGAATGGCTTGAGAATGAGCCAGAATGAATGTGGGGAGATGAAGTCTGAAGACTGGGCCAGGGCGAGGGAGACAGGGGCGGGGGGTATGGAGCAGCTGTGGAGATGGATGAAAGCAGACACAGGAAGCACTACAGCGGCAGAGATGAGGTTGGGTGATGGAGCAGGCATGGCAACTAAGAGAAGACAAAGGAGCAAAGGCCTTCGGGATATCTGCGGTAGGCAGACTCATGAGGAACTGGGTTTCCTGAGCCCAGAAAAGAAAGGAAGTGAGGGGAGGGCAAAGAGAGAGGGTGCCAGTGGACGGGACCCCCACAATAGTCAAGAGGCAGCTGCAGCGACCCCTTACCGTCCCTCCAGTACCACTGTCTATATTTTATCATAGACAAATACCGCAGAACCTCCATTATTCTAGGGCCTTCTATATAAAAGCTAAAGGCTTTGTTGTGACCTTTGGCTTCTGTTTTTCTTTTCTTTTTGGCTTCTATTTTTCTTTGCCAGCCTAATTTCTTGGTACTCTCTGCCACTCCTCATCTAATTAGTTTGTTTCTGCTTTTGGGTCTCTGCCCAGACCGTTATCTCCCCACCTGTAATAACCTTTTCCCTTCTAGCAATTTCTGAACTTGACTCAAATTGGATCTCCTGGAGCCGGAGCAATAGTACAGTGGGTAGGGCATGCCTTGCACGCAGCCGAACTGGGTTTGATCCCAGATACCTCATACGTCCCTTGATCCCACCAGGAATGATCCCTGAGCACAGAGACAGGAGCAAGCCCTGAGCACTGTCAGATGTGACCCACAAACAAAATAAAACATTAGCTCCTCAGGCACTGAGAGTCTGGGCACTTAGGCGATGATGGGGCGTAGTAACACTGTACATCAATACTAAGAAAGTAAGCCCTACTGTTATCATATTATCTGTACAACGATGTAAAAAAAAATGTTTTTTATTCACCTCCACTAGGAGAAACTCCTCTACTCAACCACAGGAGGGTCAATTTGCTTTGTAAAAGTCATTTGTTGGTGTTCACTTTCCCCCCCTACAGTTTCACTGCTTATTGGTCATTTCTTGACACAGACTCCCTAAGGCAAGCTGCAGAGTCTTTTTGCTTCTTTCAGAAATGCAGCATCCTGGGATTGCTGGCATTTGAAAACAGCTGTGCTGAGTCTCTTTCCCTTTTGGCACGGGCCACTGTGGTTAGTGCTGGGGGACTCTGCTGAAGAACTGAGGATCCAACCTGGGGCTCCTGCACTAGTCACCCACCTCCCCGCCCATGAGAATCTTACCGTGGCAGGCTTGAGATGCCAGCACCTTCTGGACAGTCAGTGGCAAAGTCCCCTGGATGCTGCCAGTCGTCTGCAGCAGCTAATGCGGGAGACACACTCTTTATTAATGGGGAAGGGCCCAGGACAACGAAGCCTTTTGTGTCTGTGAGAAATCCCAAAGGAAGAGAAAGTTTACCTCTACTTGTTCTCGAAGCAATTCCTACAAAGCAGAAAAAGGAAGGAGGATGAGGCGTGGGAAGAAAGGCATTAATATATACCATTATCTCAAACAAAAAAACAAACACTGTTCATCGATTTGCTCAAGTGGGCCCAGTAACGTCTCCATTTTAAGGCTTGTTGTTACTGTGTTTGGCATATTGAATACGCCACGGGTAGCTTGCCAGGCTTTGCCATCACGATCACGATCACGATCATCCTGCTGTTCGTCAATTGCCTCGAGCAGGCACCAGTAACGTCTCCTTCATCCTAGCCCTGAGATTTTAAAAAGTGCCATATTCAAGGCTCTTTCTGGGTTAGGAGAATGAGACCCATCATTGTTACTGGTATTTGGCATATTGGGTATGTCATGGGGAGTTTGCCAGACTCTGCCGTATGGGCCGGTTATATTCGATAGCCTGCCAGGTTGTCCAAAGCAAGAATGAGATAATAAGATGTCAAGTGGACACAAATGTGGCCATGTGCTTCTGGGAGCTGGGTTTTATAGTCTCTGGGTCTTGGCCATTGATGGGATTACATGGTGTGGGGGGATGGGGGGCCAGTTGGTGGGTGTGACCGCTGCCTACTGAAAGATGGAAGATCTGGGTGGAGTATGCTCAGCCCCAATCCGAGCAGGCTTGGAGATCTCAGCCCCGGGACCCGCATGCCTTTGTTCTTCTGCAGGTACCTTCATGCGTATGGAGAGTGGTCTCAGCATGTTGTGACTGGTTCTGGAGGTCTTTGACTGCCGGAGCCCTGGTCAGGGCGGGGAGGGAAACTCAACCTGCTCCCCTCCAAGGGGCCCCGGCGAGGACAGCCAGGTGCGGGGGCAGGAGACTCTGCACTGTTATCTTCCGGGAGCTGGGTTTTATAGTCTCTGGGTCTTGGCCACTGATGGGATTACACGGCGCCAGGGGGCCAGTTGGTGGGTGTGACCCCTGCCTCCTGGAAGATGGAGGATCTAGGTGGAGGATGCTCAGCCCTGATCCGAGCAGGCTTGGAGATCTCAGCCCTGGGACCCGCATGCCTTTGTTCCTCTGCCGGTACCTTCATGAGTGTGGAGAGTGGTCTCAGCATGGTGGTGGCTGGTTATGGAGGTCTTCGGCTGCCGGAGCCCTGGTTGGGGCGGGGAGGGAAACTCAACCCACTCCCCTCCAAGGGGCCCTGGCGAGGACAGCCAGGAACGGGGGCAGGAGACTGCGCTGTTCTCTTCCGGGAGCTGGGTTTTATAGTCTCTGGGTCTTGGCCTTTGATGGGATTACACGGCACCATGGCAGAGTCTCCTGCCCCCGTGCCTGGCTGTCCTCGTTGGGGCCCCTTGGAGGGGGTCGCTTTGAGTTTCCCTCCCCACCCCGAGCAGAGCCCCGGCAGTCGAAGACCTCCAGAACCAGTCACAACCATGCTGAGACCACTCTCCACATGCATGAAGGTACCGGAAGAGGAACAAAGGCATACGGGTCCTGGGGCTGAGATCTCCAAGCCTGCTCGGATTGGGGCTGAGCATCCTTCACCCAGATCCTCCATCTTTCAATAGGCAGGGGTCACACCCACCAACTGCCCCCCCTCCCGGGCATGATTACATGCCATGGCTTTGCCATGCAGATGTGATACTCTTGGTAGCTTGCCGGGCTCTCCGAGAGGGTCGGAGGAATCAAACCCGGCTCGGCTGGGCTGGCTGCGTGCAAGGCAAACGCCCTACTGCTGTGCTATCGTTCCAGCCCATTATATCATACCTTCCTTTTGACATTTACAGAATATCCCAACTTTCTCTAAGGTATTTTTCCTGGGCCTGGAAGGTGGCTCCAGTGGCAGGACACCCCCCCTTCCCCACCACCACTGTAGGTTGTGACCCTCACACCAATTTAAAAATAAAGTAAGATACACCTTTGAAGGGAGACTTTCACCCATCTGCACATGGGTACAAAGAACTGGGTTGTTAGAAGGCACTTTGAATATGAAATACTGAGACAACTGAATGGAACTCTTACTGCATGAAAATATGTTTAGCCCCTGAAACTTCCTCCAGTGACAGCCTATCAGCTTAGCAGGTTATGTAACTGGGGAGAACAGCCTTGATGATTCAACCGATTCTAAAGATCATGGAGGCTTTGCACCAAGAAGCCGTCTGTTTATATGTATAAGCTTAGCTAGAACAAGTGTAATGTTACACACAAACAGAACAAATATACAACAGCCACCGAACAACTGTGCACTCAGCCTAACACTCGCTGAAGTATCATAAACATACGTAAGCTGTCTCTTTGGTTCCCACAGACCTTCTTTCCCCCTTGACAATTCCTTTCGGGTCACAAAGCTTATTTTTCCTAGACGTTTTGCTAAGTTTTTCCCCACTAGCATAGCTCTGTCCCTGGGGAGGGCTTTTCAGTAGTAATGTCCCTGCATCTGTTAATATTTACAAAAAGACTAAAGAAATGTAAAGAAACGGTTTTATGCTATTAATTTATTTTGCCTCTAGGGGTAAAAAACAAAACCAAACCAAAACTGTTCTTATGAGATATGGCACACTTAATCATCTATAAGAAAACACAAGATTTCCTTACTCCTAGGAAAGACTGTGTATTAATTAGCTTCTCAAAGTTATAATGCGTGCTCGCAGTAGATTTTTCATTGTCAACAGGATTCAGAAAATCCTCTCTCCCCCCTCACACACAGGGTGGCCTTCCAGGCTGATACATGGGCACAGTCACTGAGAGCTAGAGGGTGGATACTACAAATTCTTTTAAAAGTCACTAACTTCCCCAAACAAACCTAAAGGGAAAGATGTCTCCTAACACCTGACCCACTAAGTTTAACAAAGATACAGATCAAACCCAACTTTCTTGCGCACTCCTATCCAGGTCTTCGGAAGCATCAGTTTGTAAGCCTGGTGAGCGGGGGAGCTGGGTCTTAATCTCTGCCGATTTTATATTCCAGCGGTTCAATGGATGCAAGATAATCTAAACAATATTCCAAAGAGGCTCGGGCTGGAGGGTCGCACGGCACACACAGCTGTCTCTGTGATCTTCCAGCGGCTAGGCCCAAGAGGCTACCTTCTCCCCAGGACACCAGCCCTCTTCCAGCTTTTTACAGAATCAACAACGTCTTTCTTTATCAGCCCGACTTAGCATAATCAAGAAAGACTTTCTGAAACCATAAGCTTTGTTTCAATTTGAAGTAAACTCCTTACCAGTAGTCTTTGAAGTCCCTTTAGGAAAAGTTTTTACTGTAATTTTCTGGTTAAATACTTAGGGATTGAATTACAATAAAGAGCCTAGCAGATCCTATCTTTTGGACTTATGACAATTTGGAGAGAAGCTTTGGAGAGAAGTTGCGTTGGAAGGGGAGAGCGGCTGAGGGCGAGGCGCAGGCTGGTCTGGTCAGCAGCAGAGCTGAGGTAAGGCCAGAGGCTGCCACTGGAGCGGCCTCTTCCTCCGGGGTCCTCTTACCAGGAACCACAGACCCCCTCATCACCCCCATCGGAGGACACACACAGACCCTTCCTCACCCTGTGTCCTGCCCTCCCCCCAGCCAACATGCTGTCTCTCTCTTCTGCGTGTGCCCAAGTGCTTGAAAGCACCTCCTCCTTTGCGCCACTTCCTCCTGCTGCCCCGGCCACCACGTGGCAGGAGACCATTCCATATGGGCCACCACCACAGCGCCGGCCCTGGGGGTGAGACCCAGCCCTGCAGTTCTACCCGACGGCCACTGCTAACCAGGCCCTCTGGCTTAAGCCTTCCCTGAGCTCCGACAATAGTTACTTTTCCCCAGATCTTCCCCTCCTCCTCCTCTAACCAAATATTTTCAATCATCCTTTACTTTGGCAGGGGACCTCAGGATCTCTGCCAAGACACATACACAGTGAGTGACGGTGCGCCATAGGCTCTGCTCCACACTCCTCATTTCAGTTTCCATATTATCCCTGGACAGTCTCTCCAGACCCTTCTCCAGCTTCTGATATTATCAAAATAAATATGTACTTTTAACTCTCAAAAGAGCTACATAAGAGCCCACACTTCCTCCCGAAGCCGCAGAGTGCCGGTAACTCTGCCTGTCCACGCACTGGACATGAGGCACATTCAGTATGGCTCAGTCTGGACTTCATCGCGGGCACAGCTCCTCCTCCACTCCACTATCTGCTGCTGCCACTGCCACCACCATCCTCCCCGTCACCCAAGCGAGAACTCATTACCCACTTCTTCTCCTTTATCCTTTTCATATCTTTATCCCTTTTCTTACTCTCCAGATCTTTGTTTCTACCTTCCAAATTATGTTTCAAATACATCCTTCCTCTCCTGTTCCACTGCTATAAACTGAGCATTTAATAGCACTCATTAATCCCCCGCCTCCTTTATTTGAACCAGTACAAGAAGCTGCCTCACAACCACCTAGTCTCTCTCACTCTTTCCCAGATAGTGTATCCCACAATTTCTCTAATAAATCAGTTACCATTTTTATTTTCAGATATTACTAGAAAGATTTCAATTTCTAGAAAAATTTTATTTCTAGAAAAAAAATAGTATTCCTAGGCAAATGGTATGAGCAAATGTGAACTTGCTTATACTCCAAAGAGAAGGGGTCAGAGGTAAAGAAGGAATAAGAGACCATAATTAGAAGATAGTTAAAAATACACAGAAATAAGGAGTGACTTGAGAATGAACCAAGCATAAATTCTGGAAATGAAACAGTCATTGATATGAAAAATACAGCTGCCTTGCAAGCAGTCAACCCGGGATCCATCCCAGCATCCCATATGGTTCCCCCAAGCAGGTCAGGAGTAATCCCTGAGTGAAGAAACCAGCAGGAAGTCCTGAGCACAGCCAAGGGTGGCGCAAAAACCAAAAACAAAACCAAAACCTTTAATAAGATTCACTACAGTAAAAAGAAACTGAATACAAAGAAAAAGTAGATGCAAAAAGCAACAACAAAAGACTTTATAAACTTGGTTAGTCTGATCACTGTTTTCCAAAATGCATGACTGACCCCATCAAGAATGAAGACTGAGAGACAGAGACAGAGACAGAGATGCAGAGTGGTTGTTTCAGTTTCTGAAAAGGGGATGGCAGGCCAAGTAAGTCTGAGGACCTCTATCTAAACATGGATCATAAAATCAAGGCCTGCCAGAGGGCCGTGACCTAGAGGGGCACATGCCTGTGCTCCCCGCAGTGCAGCTTACAGCAGCTGAGATCTGGGAACCACTCTGGGACCTGCGGTGGATGAGTGGAGGAAGATGTGGTATATGACCACAATGGAATACTACTCAGCTCTGAGAAAAGATGAAATCTTGCCTTTTGCTACCACTTAGATGGAACGGTAAGGAGTCATGCTAAGTAAAGGAAGTCAGGAGGAGGACAAACACTGCGTGATGTCACTGGCTGTGTACAAAATAAAGAAGCAGAGTAAAGACATAGGCAACGGCCAAAGAAAACAAACTCTAAGGTTCTGCCCACAGGCCTGAGTTGGCTGTTGGGGCAAGAGTGATAGTATATATGGTCCCCCAAGCACTGCCAGGAGTAATTCCTGAGTATTGCTGGGTGTGACTCCCCCACCCCCTCAAAAGAAAAAAAGATAAAAAAAAAAAGAGTAGATTAAAAAAAAAGAGTTCAATGGGTTGAGAGCATGCATTACATGTGGGAGGCCTGGGTCGAATCCCAACAAATCCTGCAAGTCTGGGTTCAGCCCTGCCTCAAGCACTTCCAGGCAGTGAATACTGAATACAAATTCAAGAGCCCGGAGTACTGAGCTCGGAGTAGCTCCTGAGTACTGGCGTTCTGGTCCCCCCAATAGGAAAATAACAGAGAAAAAGAGGCGAGAAAAGGCAATAAAGACAAATCATAAGAAAATCATGAAACACGTAAGAAAGACCTCTTGAGCAACACTAGTACTATCCCCAGCAGCTGTTCTGAGGCCTTTATAAAGACACATACGTAATACGCAGTACTAGGATGGGTCTTTCTCCTCCTCATTCGCTCCCTACGGGATGAAGTGCGAACAGCTCGGTGAACTAGGCTAAGCTCTTGTGTGACGCGGCCTGACTGTGTAGCTTACTCATCTCATCTAATTCGGTATCAATCGTAATTGGAGTCAGCTGAATGGCATGGACATTGGAAGTTCCCGAAACTTAGGCTCTGCTCCCGTCTCCACCACCCACTGCTCTGCCCCGTGCCTGCGTCCCCACTTCTATACTTGGCAGGCTCCTACAGTTCCAACAGACTTCTCCTAAAAACACATAAAAACAATGGCTATTTGGCGACAGTTTCCTTGGCCTGAACCCCCAGACAGTTACCATTCTATTTCCACAGCACTTTTGAACAGACCTCTATTGGACAACATTTTATTGCATTATAGTTGAGGGTCATTCCCAACTTGATGTGGGCTCATTCATCTTTGAATCTTTTTTTTTTTTTTTTGGCCACACCTGACAATGCTCACGGGCTACTCCTGGATCTGCACTCAGGAATCACTCCTGGTGGTGCTCAGGGGATCAGGTGGGATGCTGGGGATCAAACCTGGGTTGGCCACATGCAAGGCAAACACCCTACTCCCAGTACTATTGCTCCATCCCCTCATCTCTGAATCTTTAGCTCTCAACACACAGCAAGTATTAGGATTGGAGGTTGGGGGGTTCACATCCTGGCTCTGCACTCAGGGATCACTCCTGGCAAGGTTCAGTGGACCATAAGGATGTTGGGGATAAAACTCGGGTCAGCCGCATGCAAGGCAAGAGCCCTAGCCACTGTCCTTACTCTGACCCCAGATATTTCTTACTTACTGAGTAAAAGATGAGCATAGAGAAGTTCAAGACAAGATACGGCCCCGCAATTTCCAAATATCGTGTCTTACCTCCACAATACTCTTGGTCACAGTGGATCTTCCTCTTCGGAGTTCACTGGCCTCTCTCTCTACGAAACAGAGAGGTACTTTTCCTATAAGGACTAGGGAATCACTGGAGTCCGGAAACAGAATTTCAAGGCCCAGATCTTCCAGATTTTTGTGGTAGCACCTACAGAGAGAATCTCAAATTAAAAGCATTACTTCATTCACATTCCGGCACTGGTTCCAAAGATTTGATAGTTTCTCAAAAGCTGCCACGAGCTTTGAGAGTTTACTGTTTTTCTCACACTGCTGGGCGTGTTTAGGACTTTCTATGATCAAATTTCCATTTTGAAATAGGGCAATCCTCCTTTTTCTTCTCTTTTCCATTGAGAGAATCAATTAATTCTAAGTCTTATTCCTAAGTTTTTATTCTTCACCAAGGAATAGCTCATTTCTGGTTACTGGCACTTAAAGGATTTTGGCACCAGTGAGAGGCTGAGAATGTTTTGAATCAGCACTAAAGCAGGGAGATAATTAACACCCTCAGGAACTGCGAAGTCCTGATTAATGGGATGCAAATAAATGGATCTGCCTCTAATATAAATTATGCTCCGGGGGAAAGACTTATTGGCAGTAGCCTATTTTGAAACCCGAAATAAATTCTGAGACAATTCTCCTTTTCATTTCCAATCATTTGTGCTGCTCAGAAATGGGAAAATGTCCTATCTGTGACTCGCAGTAAGATTTGCTCCTGCCTGGCGGCACGGTGCTTTGCTTTCTCCCCAATATTATGGTAATGAAAACTAAGAATCTAGAATGCACCAAGGCAAAGCAGAATGGAAGCAATTACTGCAGTAACTCTGCTTTCAGAAACAGCACAGCATAAACACTGACGGTTCCAAGAAATGGTAAGTGTTCTAAGCCAACTGCTGGAAAAAATTATCAGGGAAACTCTATCCTATATTCAACAGATGTGCTATAGTGGAAAGAAGGGCGCGGGGAGGCAGGAGGGCTGCCACTGAGCGGCCGCCCTACCCGTCAGGAGGCAGCAGGGCCTTGAACAAATCCTGGGAGCACCCTTGGGCTCAGGGCCGCCTCTGGCGCAGGGAATAATGTTATGCAGAACTCAGCCTTGCCAAGTTCACGTTAGAATTTACACTGTCACTGCCACACTCGAAGATGCCTAGTGATACTGACCATAAGAGTCTCCTTTGTTCCTCTGTCACTGTTATTTCCAGGGGAGGACTTATGGTGGAAGACAGTAATTTTTTCCGCTTAGAGCCTTGAGGGGGCTGCTTCTCATAAGAATCTACGGAAGGAAGAATGGACAGGTTACGTGTGGGACATGCAGTCTCCTGGCCTGAGCTAAAAGCTGGCAAGGCCAGCTGTGTTCATTACTGCTGTGTGCGTGTGCATGGCCGCGGGCGCACACACGCCGAAGATGGGCTTCAGGGCCTGCCTTACACACGCAAGTGCTTTACTGCTGGGCTACTGTCCCCAGCTGTGTTCATTAAAGTGGTCATTAGACGTGGGTTCAATATTTAGTCTTAAAGTTCGATTCTCCATTATTGAGATCAAAGAAGTATCCAACCTATTTATTCGTTTTAGCACAATTCTCCAAAACAAGAATTACTTGCCGTAAACATTACACTGAAATGGAGAAGGCAATGTTTCTGTAGCTAGCTAGTCAATAAATATGGCTCTAGTAAATGAGGTGAAGAATGTGGATGGCTGGGGCTGGAGCGATAGCACAGAGGGTAGGGCGTTCGCCTTCCACGCGGCCAACCCGGGTTTGATTCCCAGCATCCCATATGGTCCGTCGAGCTCCACCAGGAGTAATTCCTGAGTGCAGAGCCAGGAGTAACCCCTCTGCATCACTGGGTGTGACCCAAAAAGAAAAAAAAAAGAATGTGGATGGCTGAGGAAACGGAATGGGTTTGCTACCCAGTCTTCTGGCTCTGCAAGGCTCCCCATTCCCCAGTCCCGAGTAAGCCCTGAGCCTCTAACACTGTTTTCACTACATGCCTTCTCAACAATTAGGTCTTCGCTTGAGCAGGGAAGGTGGACCTAGAAGTGACACCTGCCAGGCGAATTCATGAAATAGCTCCTTAGCAACTCCCTGACGCTGGGATATTTCACTGTTTGAAAAAGGGGGTGAACGACTTCCCTGATACTTTACCACATAGGGAACAAACTGTCTCACAATGAGAAAAAATGGTTACTAACGATTTAAAAGCACAGATTATTACTGATTTTTGGTCACTTGCCCACATCCTATGATGCTTGGGGATCCCTCCTGGGGGTTACTCCGGGTGATGCTTGGAGGACCATGTGGTGCCCGAGCCTCCTGCATGTGGATCCCGGGCCTCCTGAATGCAAAGCTGTGCTCCAGCCTGCTGATCTCTCCAGTCCCTTACAAACGGACTTTGGAAGGTTACAAAACAGCTTACTCTAGCTGATAGCCCCTGGGAGAGAAACAAGGTGGTGGGATGAAGGAGAGGGTGGAAAGGAGACTACCGTCATCCTTTAGAAACTTTCAAACTTGAACTTAGTCCAACTATAACACATTTAAAAACCAACAACCAAACACTGTGCCAGCTAAGCTGCAGGTGCTGCCTGCCTGCTGAATGGTGAGAAGGTCTACAGAGTCACACAGCCGTGTGGAGGGGTCCACCTTGGTGCTGGATGGCACCATAAGTTCTGAAACTCTCACTCTGCAGGGCTGATGATGAACTCACAAATATGCCTGTGACCACGTGGGCCTACATGTTTGAACCAGTAAACTGAAATGCATCCTCTTGATCCTATCAGCAGCCCTTCTCTTGGTGGTAGAATGCCAGCTTTGCATGCATGAGGGCTTGAGTTGGATCCCAGGCCTGCCCCGCATTGCTGAGTTCAATTCCAGCACTGTGGCCGTGATCCCTCGCACCACAAGTATGTAACTCCTATGAGCATCATGCCAAGCCCAGGCATTCCAACAACAACCAGAAAGGAGAGCAAAGGAGGAGCAGGGTCTTGGGGAAGCAAAATCAAAGGCCGTTAGCTTAATTTTTCAAGTGTCCAATTTACCTTTCCTCCCCATAAGCACGGCTAGAGAAACCCACATACACTGATCCTTTGAGGAGCCTCAGACGCTTTCTGGCCCCAGACAGACCCTTACCAAGGATGAGCTGCTCCAGACGGACGCGCTCATGCGCGGCGTGCTGGTCCACCAGCACCAGCAAGTTCCCACCTGGAAGATTCGCAAGGATTACTGCATGCTCAAGCTCTCAGGCCAAGATCAGGATGTTCACACAGTATAGAGGGAGAAAACGGTTAAACTATTTAACAACATGGGAACAAGAGAAACTTCCTGAAAAATAACAACTCTATCTTTTATTTCTTGAAAATACTGAAACCTAGGAGGAAGTTTACATCTACCTTATCACTGATTAAAATACTCTTCTGGGCAGGAGAGACAGTATAGTGGGTAGCGCACTTGCCTTGCAAGTGGCCAATCTGGGCTCGATCCCCAGCATCCTCAAAGGTTCCACCATCAGGAGTGATTCCTAAGTGCAGAGCCAGGAATCAGGTGTGACAGTTCATCAGTCCCCCCGAAAAAAAAAAGCTTAAAAATAAAACCTTTTTTAATTTTTCCTTTTGTTTTTGTCTGTTCATTTGTGTGTTTGAGCACACCCGGTGGTGCTCAGGGCTTACTCCTGGGTCTGTGCTGGGGATTCAAACCTAAATCAGGAGATCAGTTCCTTATCCACTGTATTTTCTCCAGCCCCCTAAAATACCCTTTGGTTCATTATTTCATTTACCAAGCAAGGTTATAGCCTTCAATGTTCAAATACTGACTGTGCTTTATTAATTCAAATTTGAGATAATGAAGGAGCATCAAAACAACACATTGCTGTAACAGCCAACTGTGATTTGCAAGCTATAACCTGTGAAGAATGTAAGTCTAGTACACTCTGGATGCTAGCATTTTTGGGTTTTTGTTTTGGTGCTCAGGAAACCATATATGGTGCTGGAGAATATGGATCAGTCATGTGCAAGGCAAAATGCCTTAACCCCTATACTATTTCTCTGGCCCCAAAACTAGTTTTTGTTTGTTTGTTTGCTTTTATATCATACCCAGAGGTACTGAGGGCTTACTGTTGGCTTTTCATTCAGGAATTACTCCTAGCAGTACTCAGGGGACATGCAAGATACCAATCTGGGTTGGCTGTGTGCAACATAAATACCCTACCTGTTGTACTATCACTCCAGCATTCCCAATACTAGCTTCTTAAAACTGTGGATTGACGGGCCAGAGTTATAAGGGTTAAGATGTTTACCTTGCACCTGGTTTGATTCCTGATACCACATAGTCCTGGAACACCACTGGGAGTGGTCCCTGAGCACAGAGATGGGAGTAGCGCCTTAACACAAAGATGGGAGTAAGCACTGCTGGGCATAGTTCCCAAACCTCAAAACTACCACGACCCCTCCCCCCCCCCCCCCCCCCCCCCCCCCGCTGCCAATAACATCATTCACATGCCACACTGCACAGGCAGATGAGCCACAGGCAGCCAAAGAGAAGCATCCATGTCTGTCCCAGCAGATCACAGGATTTCACGGGACTGTTCATGGGCCTGACATGCCCTACCCCTGCTTTAGACTCTTTAGTCCAAGAGGGAAGGCCAACACCCTGGCAACAAACCAGGAGAACTCTTTTCCCCCCTCCCTCCCTCTTATTTTGGATTCTAGGTGACTCCTAGCTATGTGCGCAGGGATCACTCCTGACAGTGTTGAGGGTATTCTATGGGGTGCAGAGGACTGAACCTGGGTTGGTTGCTTGCAAGGCAAGTGCCCTACCCACTGTACTATTACTCCAACCTCATACACAGGAAGATGTGTTTCTTATGTCCTAGCACAACAGAACAGTAGTTTCATTAAAGGCAAGAATTTTTGTCTGTTATATTCCCAACTGAATCAAACACAGAATAGGCACACAATTAATATTTATGAGATAAATAAATGAAACTTTATTGTTCAGGATATCATAACTGAACAATTATATTTTATAGGTTAAAGCATGCTATCACTTAAAGTGATGATATTTAAGTCCATTACCAAAATGTAAAAAAACTAAGATTAAAGGAAATTCTTTAGTTAATCTATAATTAAACTCTTAATTATAAGAATAGGTTGCTTTGGTTATTCATGAATGACAGTCAATACACTTACATTTTGATTTTGTAGAAATATTATTTGTATTTTCTAAGAGTAAGTACTCTTTGGTGGCACCTAACCAAAACAATTATACTACAGAATTACAAAAGAAATTCGCGTAGGTCTCTTTTATATCTTTAGACATCTGCAGATCTTAGTGGTAAACAACAAATAACTCTGGATTATCAAAACTGTAGAAAAATAATTGATTCATTTTGTAGAAACAGTAAAACAACCAGAATTTGACCTCACTAATTCTATATTCTTGATAATTATAACTGAACTTATGGTTAATCTGTCTTTCATCTACTATGACATTTTCTAAATGAATTTACTTAGTAAACCAGATAAAAAGGAACATTTGAAATACAAAGAGAATGAAGTGCTTCCAAGCGTGAGAAGCACTCAGAAGAACTTTTTCCCCGTCTGATGGAAGAGCGGCAGGGCACTTGCCTTGGAAGTAGTGTACCCAGATTGAATTCCCGGCATCCCATACGTTCCTCCATGCACTGCAGGAGTAATTCCTGAATGCAGAGCCAGGAGTAACCCCTAAGCATTGCGGTGTGTCCCAATCACCACACCCCCAAAAAACCCCAAAACAACCTCCCATCCTCAAAAAAAGAAAGCAATGTCAAATTAGTTTTTTTTGATATGTGTGTGAAAGGTTTGGGCCACATACTGCAGTGCTCAGAGAATGCTGTAGTACCAGGGATCGAGTCAGGGTTGGCCACATGCAAGGAAAGTGCCTTGATCCTTGTACTATCTCTCTGGCCCCATATTAACTATTTTAAAAGGTCAAAAATAAAAACTTTCCCTTTACTTACTGCTTACACATACTCTCAAGGTAACTACTGTTAATAGTACAGTGTTTATCTAACATATGTATGGGCATGTATATAAAACTAAACTATCTGTACTGTTTATCTAACATATGTATGGGCATGTATATAAAACTAAATGTACTGAGGATGAAGGATAGTAGGGTGGGGTAGGTGGGCAGGGTGTTTGCCTTGAATGCGGCCAACCTGGGTTCGATCCCTGGCAACCCACAAGGTCCCCTGAGCACCACCGGGAGTGCAAAGCCAGGAGTAACCCATGAGCATTGCTGGATGTGACCTAAAGAACCAAAAACAAAACAAAACAAAACAAAAACCCAAAACACCAAACCAAAAAAAAAAAAAACCCAAAACAAAACTATTTCTCTATAGTATTAATTTGAGTTGATTTTTCCTAATCTATTCAAAGACCTTTAATGTGGCCAACCAAGATCTGATCCCTGGTATACCTTATAGGCCCCCTGAAATATCCCCAGGACTCAACCTTAGTGCAGGGCCAGGAGAAACCCCTGAACACCACCATATGTGACCCCAAAAATAAAACTAAAAGACAAAAACAAAATCATTGCAGCTTTAGTGTAGATAAAACACCTGAGGAGGCTAGAGAGATGGCACTGGGGTTAAGGCACTTGCCCTGCATGCAGAGGACCCTGGTTCCACCCCACAGAGCTTCACCTGGAGTGATCCCTGAGCAAAGAGCCAGGCAGAGTCCCTGAAACCAAGGGGTGTGACCCCAGAGCCCCAAAACAGATAGATTAAAAGGAGGCTATCAGAGGGCAGCTGGTTATTTATTGAGGTTCAACTCCAGTCTTACCTGCCCCGGCATTCTCTTCCGTCTTAGTGCTCATTAAACAGGCAATAAACTTGTTATCCACTTGCTGGAGAACCTGCCACACATTCAAATAAACGTGTAACACTAAATAAGAAATACCAGAGGCTTATCTGCAGAGAAAAACAAAACTTAGTTTGCCTTATAACACTCCCCTTTGGGGCTGCGGATCAAAGAAGAAGGGGAAGGAGTTGGCAGAGACAGGAGGGGCGGGGACTCTGGGAAGGGCAGGGGGAGGCGTCCAAGGGGGGGGGCGAGGGGCAGGACACGGCAGTGATCACAAACCTGGGGGAGATCTGGAGTGTTCCCCACAAAATAACTCTTAAAAACTAGTCACAGAAACTGAGAATTGTTAATAAGACCAGATATTGCTAAGAGGGCTGAAGTAAAATTGAAAGTTTTACACAAAACAAGGAAAACTATTTTGGAGAAGACAGAAGACAGTCTGTCGAGAGGAATCTCAAAAGCCCCCAGTGTGTGAGGGGCGTGGTAGAGGGTCTGCTGTAGCTGTGCGGGGTCCTGGGGTTCAGTTACACACACACACACACACACACACACACACACACACACACACACACACACACACCAAATGAACAAAACCCCCGAAAAACCCCCCAAAACCCCAAGATATCTACCTTGGGTCTATCTCATTAAATAAATCCAGTTTCACAAGAGTTAGTCTAGCCTAGATCTGAAACTTATTTTTCTGAAGTCTCAGAGTCCACCTTTTACCTGCATTGAATGGATCATGTCTTTGGTGAAGCGATAGGGATACAGGACATTGTGGATTTTCACTGCTAAGCTCTCAGCCTGGCCACTGCTCACATCAACAGCAACCTAGAAAGACCCAGCATAAGCATCACTCAAATTCAATTTTTTATGTCCGCAGATCTGTTTTACAAAAGATCTCGAAGTACAAAGAAAGATTCATTTTCACCGAACCCACTAGAGGGTAAGATGAAGTCAGGGAACATAAAGAAATTCAAAGAACTCAATTACTGGTCAAATGACTTCTGTTTTATAAACAAAACTACTGATAGAAGCCAATGCTGTTTCAGAATAACTACTTGCCAATGCCCCAGGATCCAATTTTGAAAGATCCCATCTTAACTGGAAGATCAGTAATCAGATACTCAGCTATGATACACCCTCATTAAAACACCCAAATACATTCTGTGATAATGCTGAGAACATCTGCCCAGGACGGTAAGGAATTGTTCCTCCTTTGTCTCACAATAATTCTGTACTCCGCCACCCAAACACTCTGCTAAAGCTGCAAGGCGAGTTTCTAAGAGTGGCAAACACATCCTCCATCCACATCCTGACTATATCATCCTAAGTGTCTCAGTCCCCTCTTAGGCTCTGAATTCTGATTCTTTCTTGTATCCAATTCGAACTTTTGGATATATTACTTGGGAACATGTCTACTCTTCCTTCATAATTACAAATGAGTATGGCCATTCATACCCATCCCCTGCTTAAATCAAGTTTTAAAATGTAAAATAACAGATAAAGGAAAACTGCTTGCAAACCCACCTCTGGACAACGGGCAAATACGGGATTGTCCCATTCTGAGAGCAGACACTGAAGTGAGTCACTCCCAGCAGCCTCGTCTGCAGCATCTAGGGCAAAATGGAACAGGTGAAGTTGGCATCAAGCACCTCAGGGAGAAAGTGGGGACAGACTCTTGCATTCAGCGCGGTGCAGACTCAAGACCATACAGTTCCCATATGCTACAAATGTGCCCTGTTTGCTCTATCTCTAAATTGTTTTTGATCTCTTTAATACAGATGATTGTGTCATCTGGCATCCTAATTGCTCCTCCAAACTATTTACACTAAAGATCCTTCAGAACACAAGTCCTGAAGAAATGGGTTCAAATTAGTAGCATGATTCCCCTTAGGTGCAAATATGCCTTATCTGCTTCTAGAAACAAAGACAAAAACAATCAGTGTCTGTGGTGGTTTTGTTTGTGTTCTTCTGTTTTATTTGTTTTAGTGTTCTGTTTAGATAAAACGACTTGCAACATACAGTACAACTATAATCTCTGAAAACAAGAAACATCTTCTCAATCAGAAGATACCACAGACTGTGCATAATCGCGCGGGATTGACCTCAAGTCTGGAAAAGTAATTCCTGATCTAAATGCATGCACTGAATTACTTAGTTCTGCTGTTAAATAAGACCATGGGGAATTCCAGTAAGGCACAGCTGGCACTGATCAGGCTTCATAATGCAGCCCTGCTTTGTTTGTTTCTCTGGAGGGAGGTGGGACGCTATGTCCTAGGTGTCCCAGCAGTCGCTGGGACTGACCCTACCTCTGTTAGTCTGGCCCATCACAGCCCTCTCTTTCCGAGCTCTTGGAAGGAAAGGAAGAACAAGGTCACTTCGAAAAGGATGACACCTGTACTGAGATCCTAGAGACAAAACAGAAAAAATCTGGCCACTGGAATCCAAATATAAACAAACCATTAAACGGTTAAGGAACATAAAAATCTCTTCCCCTGCAAGTGGAATAAAGACATGGCCAACACTACCACACACACACACACACATGCACACACATCACTGGGCTTTGCTGTGATTCTTTAATAAAATGACCATCATGGACCACTCTGCACGGATGCTTTGTCCCACAGTATGTCTGCATCAGATGGAATGAGGATCTAAAGGATTCTCAGGGGGAATATTTTTGCCTGAGGGCCACTGGGGTAATGATGTGGGATATTAAGGGTTGTCTCAATTTGGGGAAGGGTTGCCACTGGCACCTAGTAGACAAGTCTGCTAAAATACTGCTAATGGGCCGGAGCGAATTACAGCAGGTAAGGCGTTTGCCTTGCATGGGCCAATCAGGGTTTGATCCCGGCATCCCATATTATCCCCCAAGCACTTTCAGGAGTGATTCGTGAGCGCAGAGTCAGGAGTAACCCCTGAACATCACCGGTGTGGCCCCCAAAACTAAATAAATAAATAAATAAATAAATAAAGTGCTGCTAAATGTCCTACAATGTTTAGGACAAACCTGACCATCGATAATAATTAATTCCAAATGTCAACAGAGCAAGAGTTGAGAAGCCTGTCCTATGGACAGTGGGACTAAATTGTCATCCTTCACCACTTGGTGCAACCTTTCCATATCCTAATGTAAGTCTCTATTATAATGTATGTCTTATCATTTTATAACGAGTTTTGATAACTGTTTTCCCTAAGAGACGGGCAGGTTCAGAGAGCAAAGCATCAGTTCACAGCTGCACAGACTCCTCAAGGAGCAGGAGAAACAGTACAGTGGGCAGGGTACTTGCCTTTCATGTGGCTGACCCAGCGTCACACATGGTCCCCACAGCACTGCTAGGAGTGATCTCTGGGTGCAGAGTAAAGAGTAAGCCCAGAGCACCACTGGGTGTGCCCCAAAACAAAACAAATTGCTAAACTGACATGTTCTGAACAACAAAATGATGAGTTTATTATATCAATAAAATCAGCTGGATTAAAAACTGGAGAAATGAATTTAGAATATCTTTGCGAAAAATAGTATGGATCACCAGTCACAGAGAGGACACCAGCAAAGATGTTTAATTATTTATTTATTCTATTTTAACCTTTTTTTTTTTCTTTTTGGGTCACACCCAGCGATGCACAGGGGTTACTCCTGGCTCTGCGCTCAGGAATTACCCCTGGTAGTGCTCAGGGGACCATATGGGATGCTGGGAATTGAACCTGGGTTGGCCGCGTGTAAGGCAAACACCCTACCCGCTGTGTTATTGCTCCAGCCCCCTCTATTTTAACCTTTTGGCCACAGCCAGCAATGCTTAGGGATTACTCCAGGCTTTGCACTCTGGAATCATTCCTGCCAGTGCTGGGGGGACTCTATGGGGTGCCAGGGATCTGAGTCTGGGTCAGCCAAGCCAAAGGCAAGTGCCCTGCTTGTTGTACTATAGCTCCAGCCCCCTGAAAGCAAAGACATTTTAAAGAAAAAAACTGCTGGCACTCCTTAAAATTATCTTCAGAGTTCCTGTTTTCTATGCTCACCTCCCAATCATTTATCTTGTGGGATGGGCAAGCTTCCAGCACAACATTCCCATTTCCAGACAGAGGATGCGCCAGGTGGTACTTCTGAGCTATCTTTTCAGGGAACTTGTTTCTCTACCCCAGAATGTTATGAAATTACAAAATTTAATATAAAAGTTATATTATAAATCAACATGAGGCGTGAAAAAAAATCAACATGAATTTATATTCAAATATAAATTTAATAGCAAACCCTTATAAAATTTTGGGTTGACATGCCCTTCGAAAGTTCCCAACAAAACTTTTTAATTAAAACTTAAATCAGTTTAAAGGGTTTAAAAGACAAACAGGCATGGATGTTTATGTTGAGTGCAGTAACTAAGACTTCCCTTTGTTTTAGCAACAGTCTTCTCAGTTGGATGTAATCTGTTTTTATTTTTTTTTTCTGGTCACCTTATTAAAAGCAATTGCATTTCAAAAGGATGAGGTGCCAGGGTTTCAGCATTGCCTCTGATAAGCATTCACTACAAATTAGGATGTAAAACTACATCGACTGAAAAAACACACATGGGTCTGGAGTGTTAACACAAAGGGGCTGGAGTTTAAGCTTTGCACGCTGGAGCCCCAGGCTCAATCCCCAGCACTGCATGGGCTCAGGAGCACTGCGGGGTGTGCCCCTGGGGGGACCTCAGCTCTCGCTGAAGAGGAACCCACTCCTCCCAAACCATCTGCACCTTTAAGAGCAAACTGATGTCTCAAAAACAGGATTGGAAATGGGGCTGGAGCATTAGTACAGCGGGCAGGGCGTTTGCCTTGCATGTGGCTATCCCGGGTTTGAGCCCCAGCATCTCATATGGTCCCCTAAGCACCTCCAGGAGTTCTTCCTGAGTGTAGAGCCAGGAGTAAACCCTGAGCATCACCAAATGTGACCCTAAAAAACTGAAAAAAAAAAAAAGTAAAAAATAAAGAACAGTATTAGAAGAGGAAGGTTTTCTCTTTTCTCAAATATTCTGAAAATTATTGGAGTTGCTACAGAGATCGCTCAATGGGCTAGAGCATGTGCTCTGTATGCAGAAGACCTAGCTTGGATCCCTGGCACGGCATGGTCCCTTGAACACCAGGGCAAGGGTAGCCCCTAAACACCACCAGGAGTGTATGACCCAAAAGACAAAAAGAAGAAAAGAAGAGTGATGATTTCTTAACCAGAGGGAAAAAAACACACAACTCCATTTAGAAACAAAAGATACGGGGTTCGAGATAGCTCAATGATCTGAGTGCAGGCTGTGCTCAATCCCCGCACCCCATGGTCTCAACTGCACCACCAGGAGTGACCCCAGCCCACAGCTGGGGAACCCCCCTCCCCACCAAGCACCATCGGAAAAGCCCCCAAACCAAAACCAAACAAAAAGCCCAAAGATTTATTTAACCTTAAATCATCAGAGCTTCCTGCTAGAGAGTCGTCCCAGGAGGCATCCTAAGTTAATTTACAATCACATTCATATAACTTAAGTTCCTTTATAGCCTTCAAGGCTTTTAATCTGAACACACATTTTAATGTTTATCCTCTGATGTAAAACCAAGATAATAGCCAGATGGAAATCAGCTTCACCATCTCCCAACATCTGGCTCTCAATATACTGCCAAAACAATGTCACTTCTAAGGCTGTGAGACCCGAGAACTGAGTTCTCAGCAGGCTCTAAAGTGGCTGTGTGAGGAGGCCAGAGAAACAGCAGCGAGGTGGGTAAAATCCTTGCCTTGCGTATGGCCAAACCCCCTTAGGTTCCCAGCACCACACGAGCCCTCCAGGAGTCATCCCTGAGCACCAAGCCTGGAGTCATCCCTGAGCACCACCGGGTGCAGTCCCCAAAATAAAGAGCTGTGTAGCATGATTTGAAAGTCACATTACTATCTTCTTGAATAACAGCTATTCAAACTGCAATCAGATTCAGTGAATTAGCATCTGTATCATATCAAAGCACATTTGAAAAGCATAGCTATTAAGTACATACTTATAGTCTACATTTCGGAACCTGTATGGTGAAGTCCTAACTTTCTGAGCTTTTTTTTCGGGATCACACCCAGCAGTGCACAGGGCTTACTTCTGGCTCTGTGCTCAGAGACCACTCCTGGTGGGGACTGAGGGACCGTCTGGGGTGCTGGGGACTGAACTCTGGTTGGCCAAGGGCAAGGTAAGTGCCCTACCCACTATACTATTGCTCCGGTCAAGTTCTAACTTTCTGGGAAATAAAAAGTTCTTAAATATTGCATGTACTGAGCCATTGTTTTTACTGGGAAACCTAGATTATAGGATTATTCTGGTCCTTAATCTAGGAATCACAAAAAAACACTTCTAGAAAAATACCAGGCATTCCAAGTGCCTCTGAAGATAACTTTCTAGGAGAGTTATGTGTTTGGGAAATGGAAAAATGGGGCTGGGAAACACAGCAGATCCTCTCATAATGCTAACATCTGCATTAAAATTTGACTCACACCTTGCTTGTGTGAGGTCTTGGGTTCAACCCATGGCAACGCAGAGAAAAAAATAAATGGACCATGTCATCTCCATATACATGAAACCACAGGCCTGTATTTCATTGTATTTCCAGATTTCAATAATATCAGTGCCAGAGATATTGTAAAGAGCTAAAGGAACTTGGCTTGCACATGTCTGATGTTGGTTTGTTCTCTGGCACCACATACAGTGTGCAGAGTCTCCCGAGCACTGCCATGTGTAATCCTGGAGTCTGACAGAGCCAGTAGGAAGCCCCAAGCATCGCCAGGTATGGCCCCCCTGCCAAACAAAACAAATAGGATCAGACTTAGAGATTCGCTATAAAATATATTTTAAAACTGAACGTTCTATCCACTGAGATTCTCTCTTTGAACAGTAGTCTTCTCTGGGCCATGAATCCTAGCTTTCTGCCCAGAAATAGGATACTCACCATTCTCAAGCCTGACATCCACGGCCATGGTGGTCAAGTCTTTCGTGCAAGCAGCCTGCACGTCCTCGGTAGGGGTGACAAATGTGCTAAGTCCAGTCATTTTGTTGATGTAAACCATTCTTCCCAAGACTGTATCAAAATGCTGCTGCCAATCCAAAGAACATGTGTTTGATGTTTCAATTTCTGAACAAGTCCTTGCTACAGTAGACTCCTCAGCCTGAAAGCATGTTTCAGCTTGGTCAGCTGGGAGGTCTTCCACTTGACCCACAAACATGGTTTTGGAAGAAGCAGGACTTCTGATCTGCTGTGAAGCTACCAAAGCTTCACTAGTAAGTGCACCATTATGACAGGGTAGCAGTGAGGGAGGTTCTGGTATCACAGAGTCCTCTGGTAGACTGCTGGTAGAATGCGTTTCACTAACCTTACTGAAGGAATTAGCCTGTGTGATAGAGTCTGGCATTTGGACGATGCAACTCTCGTTTCTTTCATGTTCATTGGTAAGCGACTGGGAATCCAGGGTTAACCCGCCACACGAATCACTATTATTCCTACTGGGATCCAATTGTGAAAACTCACCAAAATGACTCATCATCTCCACTGTGGGATTCTCTCTTTCAGAACTTCTCATCTTGGCTAATTTAGAGGCTAGTGATTCAGGTGAATCTTCAATATTCACAGTTTTTCTGTTAACATGAGCTAATTCCTGCAGAGTTATAGGACTTTCGTTCAAGCAAGGCATTTGTTGTTCCAAATAGTCTTTTTCCTTGGAGAATGGAAACTTCTCTGAATCAAGGATATTACTTACTTGTTGACAACTAGTTGAATCACTCTGTTTCACAGTAGTGAGTTTATGAATGTCAGAATTATCTAAGTGGTTTTTGTCTGTCTGGGACGCATCAGAGTCAACGTGGAGGCTGAGATTGGTAGGGATTTCGAAATTATTTTCCTCTTCTTCAGAATTCAGATGACTTTTAACCTTCCCATATTGCCTCTTAAACTTCTCTAAAGATCCCAGTTGTGCATTTAAGCACAGCTTTTTACGGGTTATGATTTTGAAGGGACCCACTGACTTATCTGTTTTCTTACTACCAACTGAAACCTTCCTACACCAAGGAAAAGAGGATGTGTCAAGAAATAGGCAATCTGTGCCTGGTTTTCCACTTTCTTTTTGAGAAGCAGCAAAATCTTCATAGGCTGATATAGGTTTTTCCTCCCGCCCAAAACTTGTACTTGCTCTGCAAAACTTTTTATTGGGCACTTGAGCACATTCTTTACTAAAAGTGCTGGTTAAATCTTGGACATCTGAAGTCTCCACTGAATGGCAACTTCCAAATGTCTCCCTCCTCGGTCCAAATGGAACACAATTTTTAAACAAAAGTTGTGCTTCCCTTGGGTTAGCCTGTTCATTTTGCACCACATGAGTTATGAAGCCAGTGGAAGATAATCTAACTTGTCCACAACTAAAAACATTCTTTCTGCCCCAATCACCAGGTTCATTCTTACTTTTCTCTTTCTCTCTCTGAGCACCATGTTCCCTCAGTGACGTCTTACAAGGCAGAGGCTGGCATGCCAAATCAGTAGCTCTTTTATGTCTCTCTAGTTGATTCTGAATTCTGCTGTTTCTCAGGATGTTGGCAGCCATGCCATGAACAGTAGTGCTGACGTTTTGTATTTCTAGATCTTCTCCACTGTCCTCAGAATGACATGTTCTCTGCAAAGGGCTTGCAAACATTTCTGAGCTGACTCTACTTGGAGTTTCTGAAGAGTTAGGTTCAAACTGAGAATTCTTATTTTTCTCATTTTCTCCTGGTTCTGATTCTTCAGCTGTCGCTTGTTCTAAGATCCTTGCTTCTGAGCCAGTCCTATCTTCATTTGGTGAAGCAGGCTCTGTCATCTGACTATGGCTGGGGCCCTCTGATTCACAAGTATACAGAAATGAATCAGTTGTCTTTTTCCCGATAGGTTCCACATCCCTGAAATTCGGTGCCTCTGTGTCTTCTGTAGGGGCTTTTCTTTTCACAGCTTTGGACTGCAGATTAAACATTTCATAGGAATCCAGTATATTACTACATGCTTCTTGGAAACGGAACTGGTCACACTTTTCATTAGAGGACACATGCGTCTGAAGCGTAGCACTAAATAAGTTAAAATCATTATCTTCACTCAACTCCTTGAGGTCCTCACCTGATAATTCCACAAATAGCTTTTCTTTCTTTAAAAACCTTTTCACTCCTTCCTGGATGCAAATCAAAAGACTGTCCCAGTTCTGAAACTCAATCAGAGTTTTTGCTGGCTCCAAGCACACATCATACTCACAGAATTGGCACAGCAGATTGATGACATATATCCCATGGAGCTCGGGGTGAGACCGCTGCCGAGGGCTTGAATTCACTTGCCTACTGGCAGAGCCATTCTTTGGCCTGCATATAATGCTTTCTTTTCTGAGTAAGAAATCAATGAGTTTGTGCAATTTTGTCCTTAAAACTAGCCTTTTGTTCACGAACAAAAACTGCATATTCTTATTGTAATGTGCTTCAGAGCTAATGTAGCCACTGAGCTCAAACTCCTTATATTTAAAATTTATTTCTCTTAACTTCTGGGACTTACCCAGTCCATAGATTTGACAAAATCGGGAACATGTGTCTTTGGCTTTAGGGAGCTGAAGAACCATGGACCCAGAAACGTCATTTCTCAAAGAGAAAGAAATGGCAGGATGCATAAGCGAGAGCGCCTCTATTCTTTGCCTGACCTTCTCGAACTCCAGCCTGGGATCCATGCATTTCCTCCTTACAGGTAGCTGATAAAACAGATTATGTACAGTAACTGTGGTCCCAGCACTTGGTCGAGTCAAGTCAGCTTCGCTAACTTTCAGGGCTTTTCCATTCTGAAAGAGTTTGACAAAAGTTTTTATTGTCCTATTTTTCCTGGAAGAGATTTCCACAGCGCTGGCCATGTCAGCTACACTTGCCAAGGCCTCTCCTCTGAAACCAAAGAACCTTGGATTCTCCAAGTCCTGGATGGAGTTGCATTTACTGGTGAAATACCGATTTCCCGCCTTGTCTACATCTTCACTCCCCATGCCCAAACCATTGTCTATCACTTGAACTTGGAAGGTTTCCAGATTCACCCTGACCGCCACACATCTTGCTTCAGCATCAACACTGTTGAGGACAAGCTCCTCCACACACTGGCCCAGGGAGCAGATAGCCAAACCGGAGCGCAACTTAGCTTGTACTTCACTTGACAGGCACTTGATCATGGCAAGAAGAAAGCTGGTGAGGGGCCAGGCACTGGTTTTCTCCTCCCACTGGAAAGAATCACCTATGAGAGGGAAAACAAGCATAGACACCATCAGAGCCTCATTATCATTTCTCTCAAACCCTGTGAAGAAGTAGCACTTGAGGGCCAGAGCAGCAGTACAGCAGTGTGTAGGGTGTTTGCCTTGCGAGAGGCTGACCTGGGTTCATCCCCAGGACAACCAAATGGTCGCCTGAGCACCAACAGAGGTGACTCCAAAGTGAGGAGTGAGAGTTGAGCACAGCGGGGGTTGGGGGGTGAGGGGATTGGTGGGTTGGTGGATCCCAAAACAAACAAACTAAAAGAAATAGCACTTGGGGTAAATAATCACTGTTTGCTTTGAGGGTTACTCCTTCTGGGGTGGGGTGGGGGGTGTGATTCAAGTACAGAACCCAGGCCTCCAGCAGGCACTGGAGATACACAAGAGATACTCTTCTTCTGAGGTATCTCTCTGGCCTGCTATCTCTCACTAAGCCACATTGTAAAACAAATGATTCCTCTGATCACACAGTGATCAGTGCAACAGACTTAACATCCAAAGCAACAGCCACAATTTCATCATTTTCACTGCTCCTTTCTAAATCCCAAATGCCCTAAAGTGAACTCATCATCACGCTTGAAGTTGACCCATAAAGATAGCATTCAAAATTCTAGTCACTTCACCAAAAACAGATGCTAACCTAAATGCAGCTAAGAAACATTTGCTAGAAAATTTTTCATTAAAAAGGGGGTCTGTTAGTTTCATAACGTTGGTTATTACACAATAACCTGTGACTTTCAGAAAAATTATATAATAAAGTGTTGGAAACATTGTAACAAGAAGATGAGAGACCCCCAGGCAATTAAAAAAAATCAAATCGTAGCACGGAGAAGCGCATGCAGGGGTTATTGTTTTTGCTGGCAGTGGCCGGTAACTGCCTCCGGGAAGAGGGGACGCGGACGGGAAAGGGAAAGTCCTTTTCATTATGAACCTTTTTAATGTAGCATTTCATTTTCATAAACTAGTTTGGTTAAAAGTTCTCATAGGGTCCTTATTACTTTGGGGGGGGGCATCGATACTCCTTTGGTCTTTGAAGATGTCTATCTTGGCAATAAAGATGGGACGTGTGAATCTGATTTTTTTTGCAGGGAAACAAAATGAAGATTACGGTGCGATTCCAGGCCCCCCGGTTCTTCCTCGTGGGCGAGAGAGAAGCAGGGCTGCATTCTCCCAAATAGGAACGGCTGATTTTTGTATTTCCCACCCCCCCACCCCCCAACCCAGGAAAAATCAGAGCTCTAACTGCAGACCTGATGATTGCTAAGGCAATGAACAGTGGCAGTGGGCAACAAAGTGGGCTGGGGACCGTGGGGTAGGGAGACAGGTCTCAGGAGTCTCGGTACTTGGGCCAACGCCATAGACAGCAAGGCGCTTGCCGTGCACGCCGCCCACCCGGGTTCGATGCCCGGCATCCCACAGGGTCCCCCAGCAGGGCCAGGAGCCATGCCTGAGCGCAGCGCCAGGAGACAGTCCTGGGCAGTGCTGGGCGTGTCCCACAAAACAAAATAAATAAATCAGAGTCTCCATACTAGTTCCCCACGCACCGCCCCTGCTTCTGCTCCAGGCCTTCTTGCACCGCAGCTCCGGGGTCCGAGGGCGCCCCTGGGCCGCTCAGCACCGGCCCGTTCCCCGCCGCGCCCCCCGCCCGGTTCCCCCCAACCCCGCCGCCGGCTCGCAGCCCCTGCCCAGTCCCAAGGCCGCCCGCGGGCCACATCCTTGAGCCGCGCGTTGCCTCCCCAGGTCACCTCCAGTCGCGCGTCGCCGGCCCTGCAGACCAACCGCCTCGGGTGCGGGCACGCGCGGGACTCACGAGGCGCGGGCACGCACGCGCGCGCTCGCGCATGCGCCGTCCCCGCGATCCGGCGACCGCCCGCCCGGGGCGCATGCGCGCCAGGTGTGCCTGCGGTCCCCGTCACCCTTGGGCCGCAGGCTCTCAAGCCTTTAGCCCCCCCCCCCCACCAGCCCTTCACCCCTAGATTCTTTAATCCGATGCGTATTTTGCATTTAACCGGCTTTCTGTTCTCGAGGAGGACATTCTCGGCGGGAGGCATTTCGTCTGTTTCCTGCGGTGACCCCAGCGTCCCGCGGTGATGCCTGGCTTGTAGGTAGAACGTTCTGTGCCAAACTCTTCTAGAGCCGTCCGTGTCACAGGCTGTGTCCTCAGAGCCGCCCAAGACTGGGAAAGGACCCAACTCGAGTCTCTGCCTTGACTGCCAAGGGCGCCCAGAGGTCCCTGCAGACCGTTGCAGTGTACTGCCTTCCTAGTGGAAGTGGGTGCAATGCAGAACCCCGCCAGGAGGGGTTCAGGCAGTTGTGCACGGTTTTTTTTTTTTTTTTGCATGGTCTCGTTTCCACGGAAAGAAACAAGGAATTTGTAACAAACCTGTCAAACCCAGGACGCATTTCACTGTCAGCTGAATGGCTGACCAAACCAAGTTAAGACTTGTAGGGCAGAAGGAGCAAAATCCTGTTTATTACTTATATTAGTTTGCTACGGCTGTCCTGATACAGAGAGGGTGGTTTAAACAGCTCATGTATTTTGTGTTTTGAGGGTTCTGAGCCTGAAATGGTGCCAACGTGATTGATTACTCCTGAGGGCTCCCGCCTTGGTTGGTTGGTGGTTATCTTCTCATCTCTCTCAGTACATAAATGAGTTTATTTGTCCTTAGTTACTTCCCTAAGGCCTACTTCCAAATATAGTTCTGAGATATACAGGACATACAATTGGGGGGTGGGGGGGCATAATTTAGTCCATAACATTGCTCTGTATGAATTCCTTGCTCAGAGGGAAAGGAATGATAGCAGAAATTCTAGACAAGTAAAAAAGTAAGGGCTGTAAAACATCCTTTGAATAACAAACAAACTGAATTTACAGTATTTGCTTTTATTAGGCTTTCAATCCTGAAGAAGACTTCATGGAAACCAAAGAAATGCTTCAAAGTAACTCTTTTAGACCTCTTAAAATTGCCTCAAAATTCTCTTCCCACAGATGATTTCTAATTAAATTTCTTTGTATTTTGCCCCAAATGAAATTCACCAAAAATAAAGTGCCTCTCCCCATAACGTCCTGATGTAGCTTTATTGATTATAATTGTGTACAGTTGTAATCCTGCCATTACAGAACAGACAATAACATTCACATGTGGTATTAAAATAACTTACTGACATATTCAAATTCTGAATACAGAATATTTACCTCTTAACAACAAAATAAAACCATTGTGTTTCTCCTAGAAATTGTCAATTTAGGACATTATTTCACAATTTGGAAATCTGAGTAATCCAACTTTGAGATGACTTTCTCGTTGTTGAAATTTGCTCTCTCAATTTGGGATTTGGGACTTCCTTTCTTCTCAAGCCACTGCTGCATATGACGCACTTTGGAGATGGGACCTTGTAACTGTCCTTGCACTGTGCCCTGTTCAGTGTTCTGGACCCAGCCTACCAATCCCAGCTTTTTACTCTCAGCCTAAGGGAAAGAAGAAAAAAATGAAAAAAAGACAAATCCTGTGAGGTCAAACCAAAAAAAAAAAGGTTACATCTGTTACCAGAATCTTGGCCCAGAATCAAGCCACTGAAACAAATTTGATATTGTCCAGAACAGTTAAGACAGCTAGGAGAATCTCATTGCTGATCTTAACATGAACACAGGTCACTTAACTCCATTTCCGTCTACCCTAACCCTAAGAAGCTTGGGCACTAGAATTTTTTCAGTGTAGTCAACATGACTAAGCACTTTGGACTAAGGACCAAATGAGACACTTCCACAATGACTTCCTAATAATATTAGAAAACCCAGAGGGTCGTGTTCACTTTCTCTTTCCCTAATCAGGAAATTCAGTGGGTACATTAAGTATAAAAAGCATGAAGTTATCTGATGCTTTTTTTTGTCTTTATTCAGGACCACACCTAAACAAATCCAGATGAATTAGTGTCCATTACATTTTTAAAGATCAGCAGAGTATTTCACAATTTCCTGGGCAATTCATTCCTCTGTTCTCATTGTAATTGAGAAAAATTTCTACATTTTCTTGCTGTAGAGAACTTGTCTAACCCAAGGGTTTTATACTGCATTCAAAGCTCATTTTCTGTCATCCTGTTAAAGAGTGAAAAGGCTGAGAGTGATCAACCAAAACACCAAAAGTTCATGAGACCACATAATTTTTAGCCTTTTCACTTGACCTTCTCTTCTAAATAGTCACAATGTTTTAGAGTTGGAGTCACTTACAGGACCATCTCATAGTCCTGTTCTTAGCTTTCCCAAGGCTCATTGCTTTAAATCATTAAAACTGGAAAAGAGTGAAAATTTGGGAAGGTGAAGTGTTTGAGAGATTTTATTTTTGTACAGATACGCAATAGAGTTTTGTAAGAAGTTACTGTTCATCAAATTTGTGGATATGGAAGAGGCTAGGGCACAACAGAAAACGGGAGTTAACAGGATAACCTGCCCACACGCCTGAAGGGTGACCCAGTAGATGTAGGAGTTCACTGAAGTTGTCCAAAGAAAACATTACGTATAGCAAAATCATATTTGGAGAGCATCCACCAAATCAATTATGCTTAGTCTAAGGCATGTAAATGTAAATGAACAAGAGTGTCTATAGTCAATAGCTGTGAGGGAGACGGGGCAGTTAAGGGATGAAAACAATCTGAAGGTAGTAACAGGATGTCCTTTTTTGGGGTTTCTGGGTTTGGGGGAACATAGGGGATGCTGGAGAACAAACCGAGGTAAGCTACATGTAAGACAAACGCCCTACCAACTGTACTACTGCTCTAGTTCCTTCTTTTTGGTAGTACTGAGCATCAAACCCAGGTGTCCTGCACGTTACCACTGAGCTACATCCCTGGCCTCTTACAGCACCTATTAAATGAAGGCATTAAAAAACAAAACAAAACAGCCACCGAGATAGCACAGGAGTTAAGGCATTTGCCTAGCATGTGGGCCACCCTAGTTTGATCCTAGACACCACATTTGGACCCACAAGCACTGCGAGCACCAAGTCAGGAGTAAGCACTGGTGCTGCTGGGGAGGCCCCAAGCCCACAAAGTACTTTTAAAAAATTTTAAATTAAACACAGAGAATGGATATTGAGGAAGACTATACACTCAACTGCCTTTGAGTCACAATTGTACTTTTATGCTTCAGACTAACCCGGAGCAGAAGACTATCGATAGTTCACTATGGGGACTGGTCTCACGAAATTTTGGTGTTTTGGTTGATCACTGACACCCCTGAGCCATCCCTGGTGGGGCTGAAGTCTGGCTCCTGGCTCTCTGTATAGGGGTCACTCCTAGCAGTGAATGGGGGACCATGTAGTACTGGGGAGCAATCCAGGGATGGTCACATGCAAGGTAAGTACCTTAACTCCTATACTAGCTCTATGGTCCTTACTATCCAGAATTCTGTTTTGGTTGTCTTTGTTTTAGGGCCACACCTAAAGAGGTATATAGACTTTATTCCTGGCTCTACCTGTGCTCAGGGATCACTCTTGGCATGGGTTAGGGGACATGAGGTGCTGGGGATCAAACCCAGGTCGGCCACATATAAGGTAAGTACTTTACCTGCAGTACAGTATCTCTGTTGGTAGTCATAATTATAATTATTTTTTTTATCTTGATGGGTTCTTTTTTTCTTTGCTTTTTGGGTCATACCCAGCGATGCACAGGGGTTACTCCTAGCTCTGCACTCAGGAATTACTCCTGGCCATACATGGGTGGACCAATTGGGATGCTGGGAATTGAACCCGGGTTGACCGCATGCAAGGCAAATGCCCTACCCATTGTGCTATCCCTCCAGCCCCTCTTGAGGGATTCTTAGGGCAAGACCTGGCTATGCTCTAAGCTCTATGTGCAGGATCACTCCTGGTGATGGATGGGGGACAGTATGTAGTGCACAGGTAAGTATCTTATGCATCAGATGATCATGATGTCCTCTTTGAATTTCTGAGTCTCTCTTTTCTTGATAAGTCTAGCTAAAGGTTTGCCAATATGGGCCTGGGGAGACTGCAGGGCTAAAGTGTATGCTGTAGAAGACCTGGGTTCAGACCCCATCACTGCATCACCTGGTCACAATATTAAAAAATTTAAAATTATTCATACATTTAAAGTTAGTATTTAATATTTTGGGGGCTTGGGACCACCCCGGCAGCACCAGTGCTTACTCCTGACTCTGTGCTCTCAGTGCTTGTGGGCCTAAATGTGGTGCCTAGGATCAAACCAGCGTGGCAACATACAAGGCAAATGCCTTAACTCCTGTGCTATCTCTCTAATCCTTTTTTTTCAAAGTGCGTCAATTTCCAACACTAAATATGTGCTGTAGGAGGTCAGGGATGTAGCTCAGTAGTAAAGTGTAGGGACACTTGGATTTGGTCCTAAGCACTACAAAAAAAAAAAAATAGAGGAGCTAGAGCAATAGTACAGTGGGTCCAGCATTTGTCTCATTATCATCTAAATGGGCCTGGCTGACTGCAAGGTAAGCACCTTACTCCCTATACTATACAGTTCCTATTTTTATTTATCAATTTTTTGCAGTGCCAGAGGTCACACCTAGTGCTTCAGACATGCAAGGCAAGCATTCCACCACTGAGCCACATCCTTAAGCCTTATTTGTATTTTTTCTCTTAATGGTAACAGTGTTGCTGAACTAAGATATTTTTTCCCTAAGAAAATTCCAAAAAATCAAATTCCCTTTCATAACCAAATTTTTGCATAGACAGTCATCTGAAAACATTTTAAGGAATGTAATCACTAACTCTAGCCTCAATCAAAAAAAAAAAATTTCCCTCAAACCAACAATCTAGACTTCTACTTATGAAACAAA